CATATGATTGAGCTGACATTGTAATATGGAACATACTTTGTGTTTACTAGGAAACATTGAAAAATTAACCCCTTCAGAATTAGAAGCGATTTTCTTAACACTTGTGTATGATTTGAAATAGAAATTATGTCTTTTTTCTCTTTTTCTCCTCGCGCACCAAGATGGTACTACCGAGAAATACCACGAAATTCTGAACGTGAATGTGATAGCCACTGCGATTTGCACACGAGAAGCCACGAAGTCGATGAGAGAACGTAATGTCGAGGGGCACATAATTAATATAAACAGGTGATCAATCGTTATTTGACATATTGAATTAATGTGGTGCATGTCTTATGTTAATGACATTGTCAATTAATGAATTGCATCAATAATAACGAGCGATCAGAAAATCGCATGAAGTATGTCATTATATATATATATGCAGAGTTGGGAATATTATTTAAAAAAAAAATAATGCATTACTTTCATTTGTTAATAATTTTAAAAATAATTTGTTACCTTTACTGAGAAAGCAGTGGTGGTGTGTTTGTTACTTTTTCGTTACTTTTTTATAATACTAAAATAAAATACGTAATTGATTTTGAAATAAAATTTTTGTTTTTAAGCTTATATTATTATTTTTAGTGTAACCGGTTTACCTAAAAAGAACAAACTATTCAAAGCTGTAATAATCTTAGCACATCATGGAGATAACTAAAGTAACGGTTGGATTCATTACCGTTATAATAAAGAGAAAAAAGAATTATAGTGATAACGAAAATCATGAACGTAAACGATAACGGTAACGATAACGTTATCATGAAAAAGTAACTGTAACGATAACGGCAATAACAAGAAACGTGTTATTTCTCTCAACTCTGTATATAACGTGTCCTAGACACTCTTTCGCAACTTTTGCAGGAACATATAACAGATTGAGGTGAACATAAAAATCCTATACCGATTTGCGATATTCGCAATAAATCTTGAGATATTAGTTAAGGAAGATTGATAAATAATCACGCGCGATATAGTAGATGAGCTGTAATGGCGCTATTGCATCTTATACATTAGGTCAAACTGAACAAAAAAGTCCTTTACCATTTTGCAAATGGCCACATAGATTGTTAGATATTAATTAAAGAAGATTTGTGTATTATCGCGCCTAATCATATGACATTCATATGATTCCTTCATATTCCTGCATTAATAACTAAAAATCTACATGGTTATTTTAAATGATAAAGGGCCTTTGTTCAGGCCCTTTGTGTACTTCTAATGTACTTATGTACTGTAATTTAATTTAACAAGCACACAACAGCACACATCGTCGCTCACTTACTATCGCGCATGCTCATTCACTAATTTTCTTTAATTAATATGTCGAGAGTTATTGTGAATATCGCAAAACGGCGATATGGGACTTTTATGTTCATCTTGATCCGTTCCTACAAAAATTACGGAAGTCTGGGACACCCTGTATGTGTGTGTATATGTATGTATGTATAAGTGTTTTAAAAATTTGCGAAATTCTCGCAAACTTTATTATTCGTATTACCACACACTCGTTTTAACCGCGGTATATTCTCTGTTTTTATTTCCTAACGTTTTATTGAGACAAACACTGTTATTACCGAAGTTACATCTTGGCACACTGCATCAGATTTTATCTTGTTCCGGCTATATCTCTCGTGTGAAATCGTCGAAATGAAATCCACCTACATTACTTTTGCGTTTTTATTATTTGCAGCGTCGCCGGGCACGATATCGGCACAGCGAAATTCCCACTAAGCCTTTATCAGACGAGCAAATTTGCGATAACAGGAATGACACAAGTGTTGAGGAACGAAATCGATGCTGCAAAAGCACCGATTAAAATTACGGTGAGTTATTGCTCCGCGGTTATGTGTTTTGTTTCCTTCTCTCGACGCCCTGAGTTGCAGATAAAAAGATTGTAAACTGCATCGAAAGAGATCCAAATATAAACAATTGGATATAATAATCTCTCAATGTCCAGCTATCATATAAAGTCGTCTACACTATTCTCTTTTATACCGGAAATCTAGATATTGCGTCATATTACCCTAATTTTCCTCATATATATATATATATATATATATATATATATATATATATATATATATATATATATATAAAACAACGTGAAGATATACGAACTCTAATAATGTTATGCTGTCAAAACTGAAATTTTGCGATTAGAAAATTCCAGGGCTTCTTAAAAAATGACGATCTCTTCGTCGTATTGCTTCATTGTGACTGTGCGCTGTTTCTTTTAGAGCTTGTCGCCCGGCTTGGTGAAGACGGATATGCCCATGTTATTGGCAAATATCGATAATCTCTATAAAATTGCTCCGTACTTGCTGAGTAAGGATGTGGCCGACGCGGTCATGTATATCCTTGGCACACCACCACATGTGCAGGTACTTTCTCTAGCGTTATAATAAGATCAGTACGTAGTGACTGTTGACGTTCCACACACGCAAAGTCAACATATTTGTCTCATGTTCTCTCCTTACTATTTTGTCTTCTACTTCTATCCAAAAATTACATTCGAGTTGACTCTTGCATCTCTCTGTGAATTAACAATTATTTGTAAATACATACAGGAAAGATAAAATTATTACATTACTTTCAGGTCACGGAGCTGACTATCATCGGTAGTGCTCTCGATAAGGATTAACAAACATCCGACATTTTGAGATGACTTCTTCTGGCGGCAACTGTGAAATGTGATTCAACAAAAGTTATCTTTTATAACTAATAAACTTACTTTGTGCTTACTGCTAATATGTTAATAAAAGATAACATTCAGCAATAATATTTTATTACACATTGCAGAGATTTCATCTTGCATATTGTCGAGGATTTTATTTGGTTCTACCTGTAGCTTTAATATTTACATCATCATGTAACTTTCAACGTTAATATTGTATCCTCGGTTGTCTTACGAGGGAACTAACTATAGGGTTTCTCTTCGATCTTAAGCAGTTTTGAATATGTTATGGTCCAAGTTAAAATAAAGTAGCGAATTTGTTATTAGTGATCATAGATTTAGAAGGTAAATTCTTTACTATTAATGTGTATGTATAAAACAATCGGTAATAACGCTTTATTACTTATTATAGCAATTTCATCTTGCATATACTATATATTGCGGATTTTATTTTATTTTATCTATCTACATTTTTAAACATCATTTTTTCCTGTTAGGTCATTTTCATCTTTTACAATTTGAGAAGGAAAATGATCAGCTATAAAACGTAAAGGATCAGATAACTGACATTTACCAATTATAGATTTTTCAACGATACTTTCAATTAGTTGTAGTTTAAGTCCGAAAACGATAGATTTAGAAGATTTCTCATTTTGAGTAGAATATAAGCATTGAAGACAGCAAAATCAATCAAGCGAGAGACTACTTTTTGTGCTACTTTACAGATTTTCAAAGAAATTCAAAGAAACTCATTTGCATATCAACTTGCTCGGCAGTTCCTATAAAGTTGTTAGTCAATTATACATTTAGACTTTATATTTGTTCTGTTTGTTTTATGGTCTATTTTGTCAGTGTTTACAACTTCAGGTGCATGGCTATAAAATAAGCGAACGTGATTCTAAAATTCAAAAATAGCAAGTAATATAACTAGAATGAGATTGTAGTATGAGGTTGTATATATAACTAGAATGATCTTGATATATATATATATATATATATATATATATATATATATATATATGTATTCTTTTTATGACGTTGTTTCGACATCATGACATTATTAGAGTTCTTGGCACCGTGTATCTTCGCGCTGTCATACATATAAGGAAAAGTGGGGTGATATGACGCACAATTCGAAAAAGTGAAATAAATCATAATAAACGAATAGCATTAAAGAAAACGAATATATGTATCTAATATCCTTATAATATATAGTTTTAATAAATAATATGAAACTAAGTTCCAAACTACAAACATGAAAAAATTAAGGAAATAAAAATCGTTGCTTTTGCGGCATATCATCCACCTAGGAGGGTGATATGACGCTTAAGGCTGGGAGATATAACGCATTAAATTGGCTTATAAGAAATTACATGTTTATATCTTGTAACATATGTCTTTTATTTTTTTTGTCAAAAAACTGATTAATATTTATTATTCTATAAAAAATTTATTGTCTTTAATATCTAGTATGCGTGCGCATTCCCGCATGCGTTGACACTGCGTCGCGTAGCGTTTACTTTTCGCGTGCCGCTATGTCGGTAATAGCGGTCGCGTTAATCGGCATTGTTACATTTTCTGGGGTAACAATTAGGAATAATTGTTGAGTCAAATTATTTGTCTTCATTTTACTAAGTGTGAAAAATAACATATACTATCTGTCTCATATAGAATTTTGCATATTACTTTTTTCATATCACTCTTGTATGAAAAACGCCTCATTTGTTAAGAGAAAAAGGACGCATGCACTTAAATACAAGATAAGATATCTTAGCTCTAATATAATCTTCTTTCTATCCATTTTCTTCAGTTATAGTGCAATTCACGATTAAAAGAAGGAATACTATTGCTATGAAATTTTTAGCATGATCCAACGAAATTTCGTGACTCTTGTAGTGTGCCATATTAACAAAAAGAATCGTAAATCACTCAAAAACTGAGATTTAAATACAAACGATTTGATATAATAATCTCTCAATGTCTATTATATAACGTCGTCCATACTATTCCTTTCTATACCGGAAATCTAGATATTGCGTCATATCACCCTACTTTTTCTTATATATATTTTTTCTTTTATATATATATATATATATATATATATATATATATATATATATATATGATAATGTTAATTGATATGATATCAGGTGTAATAAGATTATTATATCCTCCGTTTATATGTTTTAAACAAACGCGTTATCATCAACGTGTTATCATAATGTAAATAAACGTAGTAACGATATCGAGTGTTTTCTTGAATTTAGTTTTAATGATTTATAGATCACTCCTATCACGACGATATATTTTTACATTACATACGTGATCTACATATATGATTAGAAAGTTTGAGTGATTCTATGTGAGATGTGAAAGCTGTTACGCGGGTCTATGTATTACAACTTTGATTTTATTCATTGCAAAAAGTTTTATGTTTTCGTAAAACAAAAGTATGCCTCGATAATGTTACTAAATAATATTATAAGAAAATATAATTATATATTATATATTATAATTATATAATTATAAAAATAATTATATAATTATATAATTATATATTATAATATTATAAGAAAATTATAATTATTGCTTCGGCTGCATATGGAGACAATAAGCAAGCGACAACGTGAATAAATGTGAATGAATAAGTAATAAATAAGTACAAAAATGAAAACTACATTTGTCTTTTTTTGCGAAAGAAACGAAGCAAAAACGAGCATATCTCTAAAGAACTTTTTTTCTTAGTTTATCGATTCCCTACATGTTGCCGAAGTTTTGACATTTAAATTCAGAACACCCTGTATAATGAAAGTATTTGCTGTAAAATACGCAGCATTGAGGAAATTACTTTTTAGCGGTAACGAGCAACGTATCACATTAAATTCAATGTCGTTAACGTTATCTATATCAGAAATAATTCGTTATTTCTCTCTCGTAGTTCAAATAGTGTTGAGTAATCGTTGCTTTCTTCACCGAGTTTGTTTCTTTACGAAGTAACACTTATATTTATCATCTTTAATTAACAAAACTTTAATTGCTTCACCGTTGTTGATGAAAAAAATAACGCAGTTACTAAATCGTGAAAAGAGAATAATTTATAAAATGATTAGGAAAAGCAGATATTGAAATAATATAGATGTAAATATGTGCATCCACTGTTCACCATTATTTATTTAAAGATGGATCAACGGAGAATCATCGCGCGATTATGGAAGTGAATGTGATCGCGATGGCGATTTGTTCACGGGAGTTGGTGCGTTCCGTCAAAAAGCGTAAATTATACATTAATTTTAAGTTTCATATTTCAAAATTCTTCAAAATATCAGCGCTACAAAAATCGATATCGTAGTATCTAAATGGAATATAGTAAAAAACAGTCATAAAAAACGTTCAAAGTAAAATACAAAGATATTCTTAAGATATATTAAAACATGCAAGTAACACCGTAGCCGTTATCGTTTGCTTCTAGATAAAAATGGGAAGCTTCTTCAAAGTTTATGTCTCTATTTTTTTAATCAATGTGCAATACTAATTTTTTACAATTACAGATGTTACAGATTTACAAAAGTATGAGGAAAAAATCTCTTAGATACTATTAATATGCTTAGTAGGTATGCAAAAAGAAAGATTCCTCTGCCGCGACTAATCACAGTTGGCTGAAAATACATTTGTGACCGTAATGAAATATTTACTGTCGTAACCAATATTTTTACCACTGTTGCTCTTACATCATTTTCACAACTAAAGATATATCTACTAATAGCTATACTTTTAAGTATCTATACAGGGTGTTCCGTAAGTCGAGGTCAATCGCTCGGGAGATGAATGGGGAATCAAAAACAAGAAAGAAAGTGGATACAAACATAGATCAAAAAATGCGTTATTTTCGAGTTATTGCCATTTTTATGTTAAAATTTGAAATTGCTTTGCCTTCGAATTTTTTTGTCAAAATTGAAACATAAGATGGTTTTTATGAGTTTCAAAACATAACTAAAGTTTGTTTGGTTGTTTGGAGTCACTAAATACCACAGGAGTGACGAACTGTGGGGTCTTGATCTCTGCCAAGAGATGCTAAGCAGGCTGTACCTCCACGCGGTGCATCCTGGGTAGTGTTAAAGCAACTCGCAACTTTTATTTGACTTTAGTTGTGTTTTGAAACTCATAAAAACCATCTTATGTTTCAATTTTGACAAAAAAATTCGAAGACAAAGCAATTTCAAATTTTAACATAACAATGGCGATAACTCGAAAACAACGCATTTTTTGACCTATGTATCAACTTTCTTTCTTGTTTTTGGTTCTCCATTCATCTCCCAAGCAATTGACTTCAACTTATGGAACACCCTATATATTCACTATATATTCACTAGATTATCACATATAGATTCTTACAGTTACTGCCGCAGAAAATTTTTTTTTATGTATCATAAACTTCAAGAACATCAGTTCAGTAGACATCGAGTCGTGCGCGGTACCGATTTCGAAAATGTACTTTTGAGAAAAATGTAATCCAAAAAAGCATAATATAATTACTAAGAAGTTTTAAAATATGCCACGCTATAAATGTTCTGACTTGGCAAATAAAATACAAATAAACCATTTGTATTTTTGTATTTATATTTGTATTTTAATTTACAACAATCTTTCTCGTAAAAAAATTCATAAAACAAAACAAATATCGAATTGTTAATGACCTTCAATTCTAACATTTGAATTGTCTTTTATTTTTTCAGAGAAGCATGACAAAACGATACACATTAATGCTACAAAGCTCATAAAAATGAAACTAATCGTTGTCCTTGCACTTCATTCACAGTATTCTGGGTCATTCTGTGACATCATTCTCTATGCCGGTCAGTCTGTACTGCGTCAGTAAATATGCTGTCACCAAAATGACTTTAACTTTGCGCAATGAAATATTAAAAAAAACAGCTCAACATTAAAGTCACGGTACGTAAAGTACTAAGCATATTAAATTTTCTACTGCAAATCGGTCATCGATATGTCGATCTAAGGAACAAAATAGTATCCACACATCGAGAAAAATCGCCTCGATACTTTAGTGTATTCAAAATTCAGTTTATTATATTCAATGGGAAGAATCCATCAATCAAGTAAGCGTCTCCGTTGTTTACGACTCTTTGCCGACTTTCCGGCAACGTTAATATATCTCTATCATAAAAGGCGATCGGTTTACCATCGAGGATAATAGAAAATCGTACTAAATCGTACGACTATTACTAAACGTTTTAACTCAATAGATATTTCTCTTAGATGATAAGATCATGATTTTTTCCTTTGGCAATGTGACTGACACAAGTGATGTCAGGTCAGGATGTCAAGGTAGTGATTAAGGCAGATAAGAAATATAAAATAGGGCAACTTATTAAGATGACTGAATATTGAATCTTTTGGGAGAACACAGAGCATTAGTCCTGGCGCGGTGGATACACAACTATTAGTGGATATGGATATTAATGTGATGGCAAAATCGAATGCACTACGGGACAAGGATGTTGCGGATGAAGTGATCTACGTATTGAGCGCGCTGCCTAACGTAGTGGTACGACTATTTTGAAAATAATTATACAACTTTCATGATTCTTATGAATTCGAATGTTGAAAATACTTCATTGAACGTAACTATTTCTCTTTTAAAATCTCTTTTACGCATTAAATATCTTAATACACTTGTTTGCTCATTGCAATTCATGAAATTACAATATTAAACACAAATGTACTAATCGTATCTTTGCATTACATGTCGAAGCGAAGTAATTCACTTTCCACATCAATGTTCGCCAATATAAATTGATAAAATATAATTCGACTTCAACCATAGATCAGAGACAAATATTGTTTTAATTGTTGTTTTGAGGTTGAAAAGCGGAAACTATTATTAGTTTAAATTAAATATCACTCTCCACCGTACACATTTAAAATTTGCGATTTATTTGTTTCAGATAAGCGAATTAATGGAACCTTGGAAAATTAATAATACGACAAAATAACTATACATTGAAGAACGTTTAAAGTATCATATATTTCTGTTGCTTTTTTAAATGTTAACCAAAACTCTCTACAATACAAGACCTTTCTACAATACAAGACTCTACAATACCTAACAAATTCAAATGAGAAAAAAATTATTACTGTAAATAAATAATATTTTTAAATTTTATTGATATTTACTATATAAATTAAATTATATTTGCAGTTAACATACAATACATGGTTATAATCTATTAGAATCGTTGTGATTATTCATTTTTGTTATGCATATGCAAACAAATATAGATTTGTATCATATTACTATTATTATTATTATTATATATTACTATTATTATTATATATTACTATTATTATTATGTTACTATTATTATTATATTAAGAAAAATTATACAATAAAAAATTAACAAACGAATATTTCTGATCAAAATACTGAATTTTTGTATCCGATCAGGAAACATCCGATGAGAAATATTCATCATTTTTTGATCGGTTTATCTGATGAAACGTCATTATGATCGAAAATATCCGATTAAATTTAATCGGATGTCCTGATCGGATATAAAAATTTAACAGAATTTGATCGGAAATATCTGTTTGTCAAATTTTTTCAGTATAGGTAATAGTTGAAAACATATCGTTGAAATATATTGCTGTTTCATTGAAAAATTAACAATTATATTGCACAGATATGTTGGCATAATAAAAATGACCGTCAGTTGCTTTATGTGTTATGTCGTTAAAAGAGTAAGGTTATTATGTATACTTGTGTGCACGTATTTTGATTAATTGCATTATCATCAACGTTATATAATGACGTAGATAATGAGAAGGATATTGAGTGCTTTATACGTTTTTTCAAGGCACGTTTTTTCAAGGTATATCACAAGAATTCTGACTCGGCAAATTTGAAGTTAATTGCCAAGCAACTTGTATTCACACAAACTCGAACATACTTGCGTGTATTCTTAAAACACGAGGTGAAGACTCAAGAATGACTGACGCTTAATTAATATTGCACTTATTATTCGATATTGCTCGTTAACGGTACACAGTATCAAAAAATTGTAATATATTTTTCGGACTTCTTTCATCAATAACTTTCTAACAAACAATGAGCGACGGCTAAAATCTTCAGAAGGTCACTCAGAAGGGTGACCTCTATGACATATGTCAAGATCAAGCTGATCGGAAGTGGCGCCCTTTTTCTACACCTTAACCTGTTCCTGTAGTGTTATATTGAAATTCAAAATATTACTATTTGATAGGTTCAGGCAGAATTGCGCGGCGTTTTTTTGTGTCCCAGAATCCCAGGTAAAAGAATGAACTTGCGTCTTCGAAGTAAGAAGAAGGTTGAGAAACTTGGGCGTAAAGGAAAAATAACAGACAAAATTAACAGACATTAATAAAAGATCTAATAATGCACTATGGTTTGGCTATTCGTAGAAATTTCCGTTCCGTTAAAGAGATGAAGATTATTTATAGATGAGTATTATGAGTTACATTCTATCACAGATGTTCTACAGATGAAAAACCACAGCACATGTATTGTCCTTCGGGAGCAGACAGCTGGTGCAAGTGGCGTCGCACTGAAGTCGTCAATAATCTTATTGAACTTCCACGATTCGCTACTTCATGAAGATATCCAAAGTCTATTTATGGGGATTTATTGTCTGAAGGTTTGCTAGAACAGTGCTTGGACAGACACAGAGCTGAAACAATAACGAAAGTTTTAACGCGATTATCTGACGTTTCGCGCCAAAATACCTTCACAATGTTTAGAAGTTATTGAATCATTTCACATTTGATCGCAGGAATCTTCAATAAAGGCTAAATTGCTATTTTTGAAAGTATGGTAACGATGGGAATCGTCATTGACCGGCAGTATAAATTGTTCGCTGATTATACGGATGAAGAGACTCGCACATGCGAAAGTATAAGGCGTTTAACTAATAAGGCGTTTAACTAATAAGAAAAGCTTGTATGGTCGTCCAAAGATGCGTAGAGGAACTCCACGACTCTTATGAGGAAATAGAAAGATTATTATACGAATTAGGATTAGCCAAAAACATATTATAAGTATAACAAAATAGTAGTCAAAGCTTTAAACGAGTTTTTCTCGAAACAGTATTTTGCAAGTTCGTTGACATCAAAACTCAAAAACTTATAGTCAAATTGGTTTCTGCTTGTAGATATTTCTAAATAATAGTTATATCTTCTATGTAAACCTTTAAAACCAATAAAAAGTTAATAAAAAACTATCTTTTTTTAAGAAAAGTGTAAAAGATAAGACGAAAAAACGAACTTTTTTTCTCAAACAAGACTTTTTCCAGGAAATCGTATACTTTTTTGTCTGGATTGAGTTTCACATAGAAGCGACATTAATTACACGACATTAATAAATAAGAATATATTTGACATTTGTGTTGCAGATTTCTCAAACGAGCACTATATTGAAATTATCCAGTAAAATATTAACAGACGGATTTTCGACAAAATACCGATAAATTTTTGTATCCAATCATCTGATTAACTTTAATCGGATACTTCATAATTGCATTTTATTAGATAAACCGATAAAAAAAATTATAAACTGCTATTTCTCATTGGATGTTTTATGATTGGATACCAAAATTTATCAGTATTTTAATCAGAAATATAAATATAATATAAATATAATCGTATGTTTTTATCATTTAATTTCTCTCAATATACGAAGTCAACAGCGAATCAAGATTAAGTGTGATGCTTCATGTGATGCAGTATATACTCGGCCAAATATAAAATTTCTAAAAATACTCTATTTTTAAGCGCGCGCTCTGGACCAGAATCCCTTTTTGCGTATCTAATTCATTTTTCTTCGTTTCATATTTCCCAATATAAATAGCTCTCACTATGTAAAATCTTCATTTTATATTTCCCGTTTTGTGATTGAGTCTAATCTAAAATTACAAGCAATTACCTTGTATGTCAACCAAAATATTTACTATCTTTATTAGTCCATAAATCGATATAAATAAACCATTTGCATAAATGTTATAAGTAACACTACCACATATCAACTAATAGCTAGCTTTATAACTAGCTTGATGACTTGCAGTATGAGTTATCAGAGATTTGCGTGACAGAAATTGGTATGACATCACTACTACCAGTCACCTCTCAATCGACAGGATCAGACGCCAATGGGAACAAGAAGGTTGGATGGGAGGCGAGCTATAAGTGCTCACACTAAACTACGAGATCGACAGTGCTGTATTACGACTTCGCCGCGATGGATCGTTGGGCAGGAAAAGTCGCGTTAGTCACCGGCGCCAGTGTCGGGATTGGTGCACAGATCTCGAAAGCGCTCGCAGAAAAGGGCATGAAGGTAATTGCCGTCGCTAGACGCTTGGACAAATTGGAGGAATTAGCAGCAAGTATCAAGCGCGAGTTCAAGACCGATATATACACGATGGTGTGCGACGTTCGCAAGGAAGAGGACATTCTCAAGGTATTCAAATGGGCGAACGATAAACTTGGTGGTGTTGATGTACTCATCAATAACGCCGGTGTACTTAAGAACGAGCCGATCATAGGTAAGACTCGAAACTTGTTTCAATCGCCAGATAATAATAGCACTCACGAGATATGTGAAACGTAATTTTGAAAGTTATTTTTAAGAGTACCCGAGTCAAAATTTTTTACTCTACTTATGCTCCATTTAATGCGTATTTTGGCACTCTGCAATCAACCTTCCTTGATTCTATATAACCTACCAGCTTTGCAAGTTCTTTTTTAGAATCTACAAGTGGAATTTGGTGCGTTTTCTGCGTTTTTCTTTAAAGACATTAAGTAGGATCCCATGTGTGTGTATGTATGCACTGATCATTTAAAATACATAGATTTAAGAAACTAGGGCTAAAATTTAAGAAACTAAGTCGAAAATAGGGCTAAAATTTCGACTCGGGTACCTTGTTAATAAGCCGTTAACAAGCCTACTAAAAAGGAATAACTTACAAAATGATAACAATGTTTTTTTTTCAATCTTGCTAAAGAATATCCGAAAGATTAAGAAAACCAGTATTAAGATAAAAAGTAGAATCGAGTTTGTGTGCGTCTATTAAGTCACATTACTTGTTATTATTTGTTGTAAGACGGGTCAACGGAGAACTATCGCATGATTATGGACGTGAATGTGATCGCTATCGCGATTTGTTCGCGAGAGTTCGTGCGTTCGATCAAGAAACGTAAAACGTGTGGTCATATCGTTAACATTAACAGGTATGTATTAACATAGTTACTTTGGCAGCCTCTCCTCACAGTAGAGATATGCGAACTATTCGAATTCGAATCAAGTGAAATTCGATTCGATTCAAATTCGAATCTCTAGAATTCGAATCCGAATAATTCGAAAACTTCAAATCGAAAAGATTCAAATACAGATCGCACACATTAGCATTAACGAAGTACTATTAAAGATATCCAGCCTTACAGAAATTAGCATGACTTGCTATACATTAAGATTTTTTTCAAAAATATTAAAAGAAGATAATGGTTTCTAGATAAACTCTTACCGACAATTGTCGGACCGATATGTATTGTTGTGCAGCTTTCAAGGCTGGAACTGAAATATATTATATATTTCTTACCTTAAAATGAATTGATATCGTATAATCAATATTATCTCTCTCATACTGAAGTCACTATTTTCATGTTGAATTCAATGATTATGTTAAGTAAAAATTCTTTCAACGATTCGATATGATTTCATTCGATTTGATTCGGATGAAATTTCATCAATTCGATTCGATTCGACATTGAAAAACTTTGATTCGCACATCTCTACCTTACAGATTACCTCGCTTTTTCTGATGTAAATGTGTAACATAGAATTAGTTCGATAATATAGTCACGAAGCGAAACATTTTTCTGTCACACATATATGATGATGATACTGAAGATATTAAACGCAAAATTCCGTCAGACAATCTTGTTTGAAGCCACTTACGCCTTTGATATACGGTGCATTAAAATCCATTTGTCATGCAACTGTTGATTGCATAACATTGAAATTGGTTGCAACTGATCATGTATATTTATGACGTCTATTAAAAAGAAATATACGTTTAAATATCGAAAATAATATCTTCGGAAATTCAGAAATTTCTCTTTATGAAATGCGAAGTCCTTTAAAGTCGCTTTCTTTTTTATTGTGAAAAATATATAAAATTATACACTAATTTCAAGTTTTGTATCTTTAAATTTTTCAAAATATTCAAAATAATAATTTTCTAAAATAATCTTAAAAAGTCGGTATTACAGATATCACGCATCGACCTAGAAAATAGTTCATAGAAAACAAAGAATTTCTAAAAGAAAAATTTTCTAGGGATCTCCAAAGAGAGAAACTCAAATTTCTCCGTGCTAAGAATTGCGTAAGGTGTTTAAAAATAGTAAATAGGCATACGTGAAGTTCCAAGTGAATTCAACGCGTTTGCATTTCGCAATAACATGCTTGTTTTAATTTAAATGTAATAATAAGGAATTTCTGAATTTCCGAAGATATTATTTTCGATATTTAAACGTATATTTCTTTTTAATAGACGTCATAAATATACATGATCAGTTGCAACCAATTTCAATGTTATGCAATCAACAGTTGCATGACAAATGGATTTTAATGCACCGTATATCAAAGGCGTAAGTGGCTTCAAACAAGATTGTCTGACGGAATTTTGCGTTTAATATCTTCAGTATCATCATCATATATGTGTGACAGAAAAATGTTTCGCTTCGTGACTATATTATCGAACTAATTCTATGTTACACATTTACATCAGAAAAAGCGTAATAGTAAGGAAAAAAGGAATAATTTGAGTTCAAGCATAGACGTAATAGTGCTGTTGTACCATATAGGTAAAGCCTTCCTTATGTTAGGAAATAGAGAAATCTTTTATTGAACATAAAATATAATAAATCATCAAAGGTTTCGGCTCAATCGTGAATCCTCTTCAGTGATAATTACATAAAATTAAAATACTCAAGGGTTATACAGAACGAATTACAAAGCAATAGTATCATGACTTGGGTGAAATAAACAGACATCAATGTTTTTCTTGATATTACAATTGACAAAAGCGTTAAGAGAACAGTACTTTTACAGTAGTTAATTTGATCCAAAAATGATGATGTATCCGTCATAACTCTAACAATATAAAAAAAACAAAAAGCAAAAATATGTAAGATTGTAACATAAATAAATAAAAATAAATATTTGAAAAGATCATATAAATTACCTTAGATAAATGTAGGCTCATCTAGAAATGTGAAACGATCCTGTCAATGGTAATATCACCAAGTCAAAGTAATACGAATAATAACAACTTTATATACATTAGCATCAGATATTGTAGCGGCGACACGTGGAAGAGAAGGAAAACAAACAGAGAATCTATCATAACAAGGCCACAGTAGCTATCGTCCACATAATCTGTATCCTTATGTGAATTCAATCCATGCCTTTGGAATTTGATGTAAATCATCTCTGCAATCAGGCGTTTCAAGTAAAAACGTTCCTCATGCAGAACTTTGACATGTTTCCAATCAAAATCGTGGTCGTCCTTAATTCGATGTTCCTGTACGGCCGTCAACTCCACTATAGAATTCTTTGGGATTTTCCTATATTCGGCAATACGTGTGGAGAGTCTTCTGTTGGTTTGTCCAACATACGTAGCCTCACAATTACCGCATTCCACACACACACACAATTTATAAATCACATTATTATGGTAACCAAGAGGAAGCCCGTCTTTATGCACTCGTATCATTCCCAATAATTTATTAACGCAAGAATAAGCAACACTAGTACTATCATTTTTAATTTGTAATTCGTTCTGTATAAGTCTTGAATATTTTAATTTTATGTAATTATCATTGAAGAGAGTTCACGATTGAGCCGAAACGTTTGATGATTTATATTTTATGTTCAATAAAAGATTTCTCTATTTCCTAACATAAGGAAGGCTTTACCTATATAATACAATAGCACTATTACGTCTGTGCTTGAACTCAAATTAACCCTTTTTTCCTATTATTAAATTTATATCATTTTTTGAGTTCTTTATTTTTTCTCTAAGTAAATTTAAATTGTTCATATTTTACATAATCTTACATTGGCATGCATTCGTTGGAACAAGTGCAGTGTGTACGTGCGTGGTAGAGACAACGTAATAAAAAAAATTTGCAATAATAATCAATAAAGAATGAAAGCTTCATTTATAAGACTCGACTTTTTGACAATATTATCGCGACGTATTTATTTTTAGAAGCTTATTTGCTCAAACTAAAATGCTTAAAATTACATGAAAATTTAACGTAACATTTCTTGCAATAAAACATATTCGTAGTTAAAGTTTCTCGTTAATAAATGTTATATATTTGGAAACGCGGCGTAGAAATATTCACTATACTGTTTTCGTGTAATTGGTCGATTGAAAGTCAGAACAATATTTCATGCTTTGTCATGTATAGTTCATGTTCATGAATAGTATTGTACTGAGTGAAGGCAAGATAGTATCATGAAATCAGTTTCTAATTAACACTTATTATTTAGATAACGAAATAAATATATAAAAACATAATTTTATTCAACAAATAATCGGATGCATTTAAGTAGCTTCCTTGATGCATCATTGTAATACTTTAGGTTCTCTGAAAATATATATCTGATAAATTAACTCTCTCTCTCTCTCTCTCTCTCTCTCTCTCTCTCTTTCTCACTCTTTAAATTGATCTTCGCGTATGATATTTCACTTCATAGCACGATACAAATAAATCAGGCATTTTAACTTACGACAAATTTCTTTCTCAGAAATCTATTGAGCGAAACAGGTGCCGGAGATTATAAATAAGTCTTGATCCTCTAAAGGGATCTTTCTTCTATCTTTTATCTGTTCAAGAAGCATAATATAATTCGCGATTCTTATACGTCAATATTACATAACTTTGCATGCATATGATGCACCAACTTATCTTTTAAAGTTAATTATCGTGATCTTTGCACTTGATTCACAGTCTTGCAGGCCATTTCGCGGAATCAATCCTTTTACCGCTAAGTGTGTACTGCGCCAGTAAATATGCTGTCACCGGTATGAGCCATAGTTTGCGCAATGAAATAGCGAACGAGCAGCTCAAGATAAAAGTCACGGTACGTAAAGCATATTAAACTTTCTATTAAACTTTCTATTGCGTATTAATATAGCATATTAAACTTTCTATTATGAATCGATAATCGATCTGTTTAAGAAACAAAACAATATCCAAATCGAATCAGTACGAAAGATTGCTTCGATGTTTTAGTCAAACTTTATTTTATTATATTAAATTATCTATCAACCCAATAAACGCAATTGTTTTCCATGACCCTTCGCCGATTTTCCGGCAACGTTAATATGTCTCTATCATAAAAGACGATCTGCTTATCGTCGAGGAAAACAGAAAATCGTACTAAACCCAATAAATATTTCTCTTAGCCGATAAGATCATGACTTCTTCCTTTGGCAATGTAACTTACACAATTGATGTTAAATTAGGATGCCAAGGCAGTGAACAGTGCCAAAGCTTCGCGATAAGAAAATATAAAATAGGGCAACTTGACTGAGAAAAATTATTCGATAACAATTTAACAAACAGACATTTCCAATCAAAATATCGATGAATTTTTGTATTCGATCAAAAAATATCCGATGAGAAATATCGGTTCATAATTGATTGATTTATCTGATAAAATGCTATTATGATCGGAAATATTTGATTAAATTTAATCGGTTATAAAAATTCATCTATATTTTTGTCGGAAATATCCGTTTGTTAATTTTTTAACGGATAATTTCTCTCAGTGCTATTAAAATGACCATGTTATTAATATTGAATCTTTTGGGGAAACACAGAGCCTCAGCCCTGGCGCAGTGGATACAGATATGTTAAGGGATAACTCCGGCTTAACATCGAGTATGATGGAGAAAATGGGTGTACTACGGGACAAGGATATTGCGGATGGAGTGATTTACGTACTAAGCGCGCCGCCTAACGTAGTGGTATGACTATTTAAAAATAATTATACAATTTTTATGATTCTCATAAACTCGAATGTTGAAAACATTTTACTGCACGCAACTATGGATGTTTCTTCTGTAGAATCTACTGCACGTGTTGAATATAAACTCTTTAATAAACTCTTGTTTCGTTATTGCAATTGCTTATCAAGTTACAAGGTTTATTAAGTTAAATGTTGGGTTAAACGTTTATCAAGTTACGCGAGAGTTCGTACGAGTTGCATCTTCGCATTACACGTCGAAGCAAATTAATTCACTTCCCATATTAATGTTTGCTGATATAAATTGATAAAATATAATTTGACTTTAATCGGGAAGCAGAGGTCTTAAATTATAAATATTATTTTAATTGTTGTTTCAAGATCAAATAACGAGAATTGCTATCAGTTTAAATTAATCATCGCTCTGCCCTGGTTGCACTTAAAATTCGCTATTTATCTGTTTCAGATAAGCGAACTGACAATATGTCCTCAAGGGCGTCCACTCAGTGCATCCATGAGTCAATAATTCTTCATAAAATTAATTCGTCGTTATGTATTAATTTTTATCGTGTTTGCATTTTACGTATACTGCATAATCATAATCTATTAGAGTCGCTATAGTTATTGACTTTTATTATGCATATACGAACATGAACATGGATTTATTTCGAAAAGTAAAACAAACTTGTATTCGAAATTAATCATCGATTTTTATGTTACAGTAATTGATTCCTATCCACATTTTCTCATTATCTCGCCTAAGTGAACGATTAACATCAGTAAGTATGATGCAGACATCAATCTGGCTTAACAATGAATAACAAATGCGAAAATGTTGAGTTGAAATAAAAGGGAAACTTCTCGTTCAGTTAATTGCTTTAATGTTAGCTGTTAATAATAAGTTGTAAAAAAATTTGAGCCGGTCTCCGTGGGTCGTCACGGAATAGTTGATTAGATATAATGCAGGCATAGAACTCACGCTGTGTCTATGTAAATTTCTGCACTCTTGCAATTTCTGTCTTATCTGCACGATAAGAAGAATATGTTTATAAACAAGATAAGATAAGAAGAACATATTTGATTTTGATAAAAAATACGCGGTAAAATATTTTTTCAAAATTATATTAATCTAGCTAAACAATTTAATCTAGTCTAGAATTATGAATTTAAGGACGTATATATACACGTTTGCGGGAAAACAAATATGTGTAATTCAGTCAATTGTTTGCAGTATTAGCTTGTAAATATCAGAGCGCGTTTTTGGCAGATCCATCGCAAGTCAACTTTACAAATATATACGTAAACTCATCCAATTTATCGTGTGTCTCCTAACAATATCTCGGTAGACAGTGAAACCTGTCAGCGGAAGAAGTTATTTCGTTTTCCACTCTGAAAAATTACTTTGCCTACTTCTTGTTGATAGACGGATCAACAGAGAACTATGGCCGAACAATGGACGTGAATCCTGATCGCGCGATAGCAATTTGTTCACGCAAGCTGATACGATCTGTCAAAAAATGAGGGAAGCAACAGGTCATATCGTTAATATTAACATATTGAATTCAAAATAAACGGGGAATAAAATTGAAAGGAAGATAAAAGTATGATTTACCTGTTGCGCGATCTAGTCATCTCATGTAATTAAATTTGTGCAACCGAGAGACCGAGAAAATTTTGCATAATAAAATGCAATAATCTGAGAAATTATCTGACAATAATCGATTAAAATAATAGGTCAGTGGATTGTACAATTAAGAACATGCTGATCAATATCAACATCCTTTTGTAAAATTGGCAATTCGAGTCAATGACATCTCCTCTCTAAGATGTCGAAATCGTATCGAAACGTTGAAGTTTCTTTTTTGCGATGCTAATTGGCTCGTTGCCGCATCGCGATTTGATTCACGTTTGTTGTTTGCGACTGTTAAATTATCACACGTGAGTGTTGACAGTTCTGCAAGAAATGCTGACTGTCGATAATGTCACTCTTATCATTTAACTTTACTACTTATTGACTTTAATATCTCTATTTTTTCCTGTTTTCTTATAAATTCGTGAAGAAATTATATAGATTATCAACAATTTATATAGAATAAATATCAGGTAATTAAAACTCATCATAGACAATAGATGGTCACATGAAAACCAAAAAAAAATTTTTATACTCTGTCGGTAAATAAAAAAATTTTTGTTGGTTTCATGCAACTATTTAGTATCAGCCATTTATTAACATTTGTACTTTTACCCTGTAGAGGAATTTTCAATTTGATGTATCCAATTAGAAGAAATGAGAAAATTACGAAACTATATTATGTCGGTATTCAACATCGCTTTAATTGCAAATTAATTATCGAGAAGCACGACACGTTGGGCCAATGGCGCAGGGTTTGTTTTTTCGCTGTTACCTCAATATCGAGATATTACGAGTGCGTTTCGACGTAGGAACACCTAGCTGATTACAAAAGCGGACATTATGGTTAATTAAACGAGCCTCTCGAGTCTCTCGAGTGGCCGCTGATGCAAATGAAAGTGATGGCGCTTAAGTAATCGAGTATTTTTATTTCTCTGTAGATTTACGCAGAGTACAATGCTAATCATACACGACGTGTCTTTTGTAATATATTAATATATCTCTCGTTACGTTTACATTTCATTACATCACATCGAACGGACATGGTGCTGGAGTTGTCGGTTATGTACACACCCTTGTATTAAATTGTGCTGGAAAATCAAACTGAGAATTTATACAGTCATCGATCCGTGTGTGGGTATACACATTTATAGAAACGATTAGCGTTAGCCAACGGCGTAAATGGCGGACACGCCACGTCCGCCGGGACTTAATGAGCGAGAGTCTGTGACGAGCTTCTCACGGATACAACATACGAACATACCAGGTCGAAGTGAAGGTAGGATTTAAAGGTGGCTTTTATCGTGTGTACTTAGCTTAAGAATTAACAGTATTGGTCGAGTATTGTTGCCTGAAGATTCCCATTTGTCGGATCGTTCGATTAATTGCTTACTTGTACCAACGTGTGTGAAGGTGCTTCGGATCAAGCGTAATAACGCGTGCACGCGGCTAATAAAAATCTCTGCGCCGCTTTACCCCTCCCTCCACCCCATCTCCTCTCTTCTCTTTCCTTCTCTTATATATCTTTTTCGTTTTCTCTTTAGATTTAAATCGTGGTCTCTCGTGAGCGTATATCGTATATAAGGAAAGGCCAGTGTTATAATTTAAAGAGAGCTCTCTAGACGATAAAGTGACCGAGCCACGTGAACAAACGCGCGACCAACGATACCGTAGATTCAGTCCCGGGCTCTTCCGAGGGCTACTTACACCGCTCGAAATCGAAGGGCAAGCATCTCCATAGCATTTACATAGCATTACGTGTCTCACGTACGCGTGAGACTCAAGGCATCGCGGGATGTCGCGGACCTCCTCGGACCAAAACCGTCCTCATTCACGTGGCCGGTCAAATATTCTCTTAGTACGATATCGTGGTTTGAATGTACTTTAATCCTATCACGCGCGTTTTGGCCCCTCGTCCGCTGCAGGAAGAAAAATTTCATTTCAACTAACGCTTGAATTCGACGAAAGAGCTAAGCTAGTTAGCCAAGCGACGTCTCCGTCGTCGCCGATGAAGCGCGATGCGTTTCCGCGTCTCTTTTCCTCTCTCTCTCTCTCTGTCTTTCCTTTTCTCTTCCTCTTTCTCCATTTGTTCCCCCGCGAAAACGGAAACTAAACTAATGTAATGTACAAGCTTGTTGATAACAGGTCGAAAGGTGCATTACATTCGAATGAAACGGGCGCGTTTCGTTAGCGTTAGAGACGAAGTATAAAACGAACTTGAATCGAGCGTAGCAGCTAGTTTTGGAGTTGTCCGAAACGATTCGGACGTTCTACACGCTATACATGTAAACTTTTGATTTGTCAATTAGTCACAGGCCACGCTACCTACGGTCGGTGCTAACGAAACGACGACAGGAGGCGGACAATCCGTACCGATTGTACTGATCACCTCGTACTAAAGAATCTCCGCGCTCGCTCGACATCAACGCGAACCTACGCGATTTCTCAATGAGGGGAACTCAAATAAATACAGGACGGATATGTTCGACCTCGAAACTAGAGAGATTACCCTATACATTCTCTATATCGATATATGTATATATATATATATGTATATATATATATAATACCTCTGTGATGATAAAACGTTTCATTCGAAAAATTCGCTAATTTCTGTGTGTATCTAGTTTACGCAATATTTATATAGCAATCTTTTCATAGAGCCTCACCTCGAATTATTGCCACGTGCGCGCAAAATCGGAGTCGACTTCGTTCGCGGATATTCTCGTTCGATTACTCACGTCATCGACACGTACGTGAGCAATTTCGAGAGAACGTAGTGGAAACGAGCGTGACAGAAAAATTCATGTTTCTCTCTAGTCACAATTTCAACGTTCGAATCGTCCCCCGTAGAACAATTTCGCTACTTCCTCCTCGTCGCCGTGCGGCGCAGCGTGCCGCAAAGTATTATATACAGCGCTACAAGTTGTCCAAATGAGAGATTTGCGGTAACAACGGCAATAAGAGGTAAGAAAAAGGTGAGATGCTCCGAAACTGTTGACGGCACGAAGGGCCGTCCCCGGCTCCCTGAATGCGTGTAATGGCGCATGATGACGCGCCGACACAAGTCGACAGGCGTCCGTCATCTCGCGCCCAAGATTTTACGCGCGTCACGACGCCAGCTCGTCCACGGATATGTTTAATTACAAGCTAAATCACGAACGCGCACGTCGCTACGCGCGCGTACCTTACGCGCGGCCGCAATATCACGAGAAGTCCAACAAAATAACGTTCTTTCTTTCTTCCTCTTTGTCTCCCTCTCTGCTCCTCCCTCTCTCTTTCTCTCTCCCTTTCTCTCCATATACACATATATATAAATATATGTACATATACACGGAATACAGCGTACGTCGATGAAACACTAGCTGTACCTTGTTGTTAATTTTTACATTACATACACACACATTAAAGCTGCACCAGTACGTACGTATATACGGATATACATCTATATACGACGGTATGTACAAGGACGCTTTGCTCCTAGTGAATTTCTTCTCGCGGCTAATTAACAAAGAGGTGAACGGTAGAGCTCCGGACTCCGAGCAGTCCGTCGAGCAGACTCGAAACGGAGACCGCGTCGGAAGTATCAGGTCGCGACCGTTCGCGTAAACTTACCTTTGTTTACGTGGCAAGAATGACGGGAGAAACACATTTGGTCAAGAACGTAATTACCTTGTGCAGTGTTTTTTCTGTTGTGCGGCGCCTGTGTTGGCGAAAGATCCTATTCCGATGTGAGAAAGTGTGAGATCACCTCCGACCCCGATAATTTCAAACTCATTTCGAAAAATAGACTCTTCCGTAAGGAGACTTGCTCGAATCGCGCGTAATATCCTTTGTATTGGAAGTTTGGTGTTACGGAGCTCGCATCATCTCTCTTCTTCTCTTTCTTGCTTACGCGGGCTTTCGAGAAGAAGAGATCGCTCAATTGCTTAAGATATACTACAGCTGGATAATTTTGAATTTCGCTCTTCGGGAAACACAACTAGATTATTCTGCTCGACGTAAACGAGCTCAGGTCGGCAGACCTCGCGCGGTGGATTGCGTGACATCCACTGACGTTGGAAGAAACTCTAGACGTTGGAAGGGAATTCGGCTTGAAATGATCTTCCGACGTGGAAACGTTCCGCGGGCGATATTAACAAGTCTCTCCATTTTGTCGCTCAACCGAGTTTGCTTGTGCTCCGAGGACGCTTTTATCCCTCTCCTTCTTATAAAATGTGCGTCTTCCGTGTGATACTCGTGATTTTAGGCTACTTTTACACCAATGATTCACATTCTATTTCTATCGAGTTCTCGCCGCGCGGCATAGAATGAGATTTGCTTGACCAGTTCATTTGTTCAGGAATAACTTAGAAAGATCTTCAAAAGGTATATACTTGAGAGACGCGCGAGGGACATCTCATTTCCAGAAAGAATGGTGAACATTGCGAACATAAAAGCGAATCTTGAGAAGCCTTTGATGAACGTTCAATCGGTATCGTAGTGTCATTGGGTTATGACATGTTCGACGATGGATCCTCTCAGAAAGCGCTACAGTAACTAAGGAGATCGAATAATCCTACGGATCACGCGCGAATAGTAAGAAAAAAAATACAATTGATACAAAGATACAAAGTATTTGTGAAGTATTCTACGGAAGCGGGGCAAGTATATGCGACTCGGCCCTTTGGTATGTGTGTGTGTGTGTGTGTGTGTGTGTGTGTGTGTGTGTGTGTCAATCTAAATAAACTATTCCTCAACATACTGGATCGTCGTTTCCGCTCGTCTAATGTACGACATACATCATATACGTCTATTTGTACTACCGAATGACGCTCGGCTCTCATTCGTAAGCGTAATAAGGTCCGTAAACCTGCACGCGGACACTGTCCGCGACGCGATCACGAGCTGCCCCGTAGCCTAAAATTACAGAGACTTTTGAAAAACACAACCGCCCGCTGTATCTTTCATTCCTTGACCGGTGCTGCCTGTGCTCCCCCGCCGTCTTCGTGATTACCGTTGCCCTTCTGTTCTTGCTCCTTTTGTGCTTTGGCTTCCGCATCTGCGGACAAAGCACGTCATCACGTGACGATTCACCGGTCTCGTTGAAGGGGAGCACTAAGCTAGGCATGATTGCGTGCACAGATGCAAGCGGAGTTTTTCCAGTCGAAGGATTGGGATTGTGTCTTTCATTCGTCGTGAAAAATTGAAAGAGTAGGAATTTGCCGAAGGAGAGATTAGCGTCTCTAGCAAGCGATTCAAGAGAGAAATTGTCCGATAAAAAATTAACCAACGGATATTTCCGATCAAAATACCGATGAATTTTTGTATCCGATCCATCCGATGAGAAATAACGGTTCATAATTTTTTTATCGGTTTATCTCATTAAATGTCATTATGATCGAAAGTATTCGATTAAATTTAATCGGATCTTGATTGGATATAGAAATTGATCGGAAATATTTGTTAACTTTTTATCGGACAATTTCTCTCAGTGTAGGACTCAATGCAATGACATACCTCGCACTGCTTGCTCCTTCCAGATCTTCTTGTTCTCTGCGAGACACGGAATCCAGGGTTTGTTGATTGTAAATCTTCCACTCTCCCCTCCTGAACCTGTAACATGGTCATTCTTGTAAATCGCTCTGTAAAATAATATAACTTTTGTCGATAGTCCGAAAGTTTGTTATATCTCACCGTTGCTGGGCTCTTCACCGGTATCCTTAACGTTTAACGGCGCCAGAACGGTCTCCAGCATGTCGCTGCACACTTGCATGCTAGGCTCGACAATGAATTCAATGAATCCTATTTGAGATTCAGCCACTAATGTGTTATTGCGGTCGCACAGTGGGGAGAACGGCAAGCCGAGTTCTCTCTCTTTGTCACCTTGCCTGAAGAACTCTTCCAGAAGTTGCATCGTCCATCTGCGCATTGGAAAATTATTGAATTTGTATTAATCTAAAATTGAATTAATTTATACAGAGATATCGAGCTCCGACACGTGGCAATTACGAGAACTGTTGCGCGTACATTATTTCTTGTTCTATAGGAACAAAAACGGAAACAAGATTCTTATTTCAGTCTCTAAACTATTAACTTTTCTTATCGTGCTTTAGAAATGTGCAGAAAAATGTTGTGGAGTCGATTGTGTATCTGCGAATTAATTTTTGATACAACAAGTTTCATCGAAATCGCGCAGAGGATTTGTTAAAGCTTTTCGTAAGTACGAAGTTTTACCTGTGATGGAGATCCCATCTTTTAGCGGGGTGCGAGATGTCGCAACAATGGAGGACCAAACTAACGGCTTTGCTTTTATCCACGCTCGGTTCCGCCAAACTTAGTAGATTCTTCATGTTCTTCAACTGTTGAAAGTGAAAACTCATGTCGGTAGCAAGAACCATGTCAATCACGAGCGATCGAAATTCTCGGAATTCCTCTCTCGACAAGTTCTGCAATATATTGCAATCATCCTCTCGGAGTATCCTGAAATGTAAATAACAGTATTGACGATGGAACAAACAATGGAACTAATCCCATTTGTACAACATGTCTACAGTTTAGAAGTGCAAATCTTAATTGTGAACGGTATTTATTGTAAAATAATGAGTGGAGAAAACCTTCAAAAAGTTAGAAAAATTATTTTCATGCATATCAAAAGTTTTTATTTTGTTTGTATTAAATTCAATATTATATGTATATATAATCATTGAATTTTGATATTCATGAATATGTATTCATAATGTAATTATAAACGCCGGCAATAATATTTAAAGACTGTATTATTGCGAAATTTCAGAAATGCAAACTGCCCAGGCAGACAATCGATGCCAATCGCAAATGGAATTTGCACGTACCGGAAGCTGGCCGAGATGTGATGATTTTCCAACACAGCGCGGTCGTTATACAGAAGCGCTGTTTCGCTACCGGACATTACGTGGAAATTGTTTGTGGTCCCAGTGTGCTCGTAATCGTGAATAATCGCTGCCACGAGGGTGGCGAAAATCTCGAGATCGGTCAGCCAGTGCTGTAACGAGGAATATCAGCTTGAGGCTGACCTCACCCTCTCTCACTCTCTCCCCTGCGTACAATACGCGGTCGAACAAAAGGTAGTCGAGGGAACGGTGAGGATCAAATCGAGTAAAAAGAATCCTTCCTCTTTATTGCCAGACTAATCAACGGTTCGTCCTTTAACGGATCGAAATGGATCTCGTTCTTTTATTTACGTTGTGTCTTCCCAACCTCATTCATGTCTCACGCCATTCATACTTCATCGATTCTCAAGACACGATGAAACGCGATTTCTTATCGCATCGTCATTTCCGGATATGCGCTTGTTTTAATTGTTGAAAAAATATGTGCAAGGAAGACGCGTTTTGCCTGATGTATTATTGATGTCTTTTTTTTATTATTTTATTATTGAGAAGGTCCAGATTGACCATAAATCGCAGAATAGTCTGAAATAAGTTTTATTCCAGCGTATGTTGCAAATTCAGGGGAAGAAATCTCGATTATATCTAACAGTCACATTCTGTCAATTAGATGTAATATTTATATTATCTCTGATATCTTAATCTTATTCTTCAGAACGCCGGAATTCTATAAAAGTTTTGCAAAAAACGATTTCTGGCCGACAAAAATATCATCGTACTTCGCGCGACCGCGTCAAAATTATGTGTAAATTTATAATATATATTTTCTTGCGTGATAGAGAACGATACTCTTAAAGGAAATATTACAGAGACATCAGACGTCAAAGTAGTAGACTCTACCTTGTATCGCAAAGACATCGATAGGTTCATATTGTTTCTCTTTGATGTTTTCTACATCGATTTAAAAGTAAAAAAGGAGATTCAATATCGATTACTTTTACGGAAGTCGTGAGCAAATGAAACTTGCTCAGAGGTTACGTAACTTGTTGACGTTTAGGGGATTCTAGGGTTAAGAAATATTCACCATCAGGCCCGTTTGACACAGGATGTGATGCATCGTTTGCGCGACATCGGCGGCGTGGAGGTTGTTGTGGTACGGATTCCGATGCCTGCAGTAGCCCTCCTCGACTTTTCCGAGGAAGCACTCCAAAACTGCGGGGGGTACTTTAAACTTGTGAATCATGCCGTACCGATTGATGAGATCGTAGCCTAGGTATTTCACCGGCATGCCCAGCGCGGCCTCGTTCAAGGAAAACACGTCGAACGACCAGTCGTCTAAAGTCTTGAACGATAAAGCGAGCAGCTTGAGCATAAAGTTCTTCCTACGGGAGCACCGAAGAATCCTCGAGTGATAAATTTGATAAACAATCCCTTCGAATCGCATCGGATCCCTCGTCTCCTCAATTAATTGGTCGAGGCGCTAATGATCTCCCGAACGAGACTCTACAATTGTAATTAAAGTCTCCGCGAGATGCAATCAAGATAATCAGGAAGACGTGTACACACTCGATTGCTATAGCCACGTTTAGTACACAGAAGACCTGTTCTTTTCTAAATTGCCAGAACTAGTGCGAATTAGTGCACTGAATTAGAGTGAAACAAAACATATTTGTCTCACTCTAACTTATTGTATCAGTGTGCGTCAGTTCAGACAATTTTGCTAAGAAAAACGGACCTGTACTGAACTGTCTCTCCGCAATTACCTCGCGCGATACATCCCGCCCTCTCGCCACCCCGGAGATCACCCGTTACTCCGGCGAGTGCTCCTGATAGCCCAGAGGGATTACCTTGAGTACTTTCACGACATCCTGCGGGAATTGCATAAGGGCAGTGTTCGTGACCCTCCTGTAGATCCGATCGACGAATATGCCCGCGCGGATGGCGTGCGCGACCGAGCGGAATTTCGGCTTCTCGTCGGCCTTCCGCCTGGTGGTGGCCAGCTGCCTGGTGAAAGTCGAGGCCAGCCATTCGCGCACTTCCGGCGGCACCGCGTCCGGCTGCACCTCCGACAGCTCGTCATCCTCGTCCGCGAGTCGCCTAAGGGAAATCGCAGGGCACGAGGTTAGATCGACGACATGCCGGCGTGTACACACGGCACGGTGAAGACGCCTACCTTCGTTACGTTCGATCGAGTATCGAGCCGAGACGCTCGATGTCCTCGAAACTGAGCGTAGTGGCTCGCTAAAGAACCCGCGTTCTCAGGTTCGCTCGTCGTGGAACGAACCGGACTAATTGCCTCTAAACTACTTTATCACCTGACACGCCCGCTACGTTATTTTGCGCGAGTCGAGCACGCGAAAAACTGCGAATTACAGATCGTCAATCACTCCAGGTCGCTTCTTTTTGCCATCGCGTCGACTTCCCGATCGTCGCGTTCGTCAACCGCGAGCGAAGTTCAAGAACGAGTCGCGTTCATATCGCGTTCATTCCACGTCAGACTATACGTTTTATCAAATAAGAGCGTGACAGAGATGGAGACAGCGTCCTAGACCCGCCGAGGAAAATTTTACAAACGAACCCTGAAAGGTGTCTTTAAAATAAGGGAAACCGAGGCATGTTGCTCGTGTGCTTTAGTACTTATCTTGAGAGAAATAATGGATACAAGATCGTGAAATGGTCCTTTTAGAATACACATATTTTTCCTCAAGTTTCATTAAAATCGGAATAATATTACAGTTAAGAAATAGAAAAAAATTAATTTAGTAATAGCAAAGTAAATTTCCGAGCCTCTCAAAATTTTATATTAATATTCTTCATCGTGACTGAACACAATTAAGCGACTAGCTGGAATAAGATTTCTTACAAGTGTATGATATTACTGTTTCGTTACAAAAATTAGTTGCCTGAGAAGTCGTGACTTCGAAATTTTAAATTATAGAGCATCTAGCCCCGGTCTCCCCTACTTCTCGGCGAACGGTGGTCATCTCTATACGTGGTTGTCTAAGATGAAATACGCGGATGTGCTAATTCTACTGTTCTATACGTCTCTAATCGACTCGCTAAAAAGTTCACGTTCTAATTAATATATATAGAAAAGAGTACTGGCGACGGATTTTCAATAAAGGTCACACCAATCATATCAGTTCGGCGATACAGTGCGAGATTAAATGTGCGATCTGGACGGCGGATGGAATGTTGCGTAGAAAGATGGTGAGAATTTGAGGTGGAACGTGGGTCAGTGTGAAAATCAAACGATTCAAATAAACCGCTGCGGCCTCCCGAGCGTGTATCGCATTGTTGGTCTCGGCCCCGGTCCGATATATCGATTGTAGCAGTGATTTAGTAGCTTGAGCGAAGCTGCGACAGCCAGATCGGTCGCGCGTTGCGACCTTTGGGGATCGTGCCAACATCTCGGCGTGACAATAACAGCGCGAACGTAACTGCTGAGTCGCGATCTCGTTCAATGTCAGTGCATTAGCACTCGATCTCGAGTAGCAGATATTATACTATACAGCACAGAACAGCCAAGCGTCGCTGTGAGCGCGGAGACCTAGAAGACTAGTCTATTAACAACAACGCCGTATCGCGCGTGTTCGGCAGACGGAGAAGTGGCAGTTAGCACGTTCGTGAGATACCTAACACGCGGTCTACATGCTACGGCGAGCATCCTAATTAGATCCCGACGTAAACCGTCCCAGGCTCGCCGAGGAAAATTTAGTAAGTAGAAGTAATTCACTCGATAAAGCTTCTGCACGTCTGCATGCGCGTTTTGCGCTGCCAAAAGTCGCACCGTGGCGCAGGGTGTCTCAGGAACACCGTGTGTTCTCTCAGTCGCGAATTTTACAGTAATAATCTCGCGCGAACTTCACGAATTTCAAGAAAGCTGCTTTAATCCTTCAGTAGACGCGCGGTCTACCATTGCAAAATGTTTTGTAGGTGAGGTTCACTGTATCCGTTGTATCTCAATACAACTGCACAGAGTATTAATTCAAAGTTTTCTAATGCCAAAATGTAGAGATTTTTTTTTTTCCAAAAATCCACATAGTATAAACAATAGACTATTTATATAAAAAAATCTCTGTATTGTGTAAATAGAGATAAAAAATAGAGATAAAAGTAAAAACCTCTATATTTGATCGCGACTATTAACAGAATTTCTGATGATGATCAAACTAAAATAAAATATTGAGTTAAATAAAACTAGTTCAATTATCGGGCTTGAAACTTTTGGATTCCATTTTCTTGGAACGATAGATAAAAGCGTGAACTTTGACATTTACATATTTGTAATATACTCCGGATTACCTTGCTTTCATAAAAAAATTTATTTCCGTGAAATAAAATTTATTTTTCTGAATAAATTTTACATCCCAAATAAATTTTCAAATAAACTTTGTTTTCAATATATTTCAATGTATTTTCAATACGAATAAATTTTCAGATATATATTTTTCGTTTTCACGTTCATACATTGATTTTTTTCTCGCCCACAATCGTGACATAACACGTTCAAATGTTTCACACCGAAGGCAAACACATCTAGTGCCTATCATTGGCTACGGAAATTTCTTACAAATCGATTTGCCAAAAAATTTCAGATCACCTCAGATTAAGATCTCAATGTCAGATAATTGCTTGACTGTTGAAATTTTCGTGGATAATACTACATAATGTTCGTAATGCTCGACTGAAAGAACATCTCGAGTGTCCTGAAACGCTCCCGGCGATACACGCGAACGAATTAACGTCACACACGAGCGAATTATCATCACATCACACATAAACACATACGCACGCACGCACGCACGTACGCATACATGGTAGCCGGTGTTTGCGGCTTGTCATGCAAAGCGCGGTCAGACAGACGACTTGACGCGAGACGATGCGAAGCGCCAAGTGCAAATGAGAGCGTGATCTCGTATGCGCGCATTCCACGGATCGCGCTCACAGGAAGAGTGATAATTTTGGGAAAAAACGAACCTACGGCGTACACCCGGGCGACACGTAGCGGCTGACTCCACACGCTCGGCGTCTCTATAACGTGAAACACGAAGGAAACATATATCACATTAAAGGTTTCACATCGATCTAAGCGTCTCGCTACGAACGAACATCTCTGGCACGCCCGCTGCGTGGGATGACTCCTTGAAAGTATCCCCATTTTCTCTCTCCTCGCTCTCGCCGCGAAGGCAACGCGAAGTCACCACCACGAGCCAGCTTCCGAGCAGTGGTCAGCTCTTCCCGATGTTCTCTCCCCCGAGTCACTCCCACGCACCACGGCGCCCCGACAGAGACCCGCAGGGGATGTTTGCGCCGAGAGAGCCGTCCGGCGATAAACGTCCTACGTGTACATGCACCGATCTCGGGCAAGAACAGTGCGGGCGAGCCGACAGGAAACGGTTTGCCGATTTGTCGTTAGAACGATGCGTGTCACGGCAGGCAGACATGTCCGACAAATTGAGAGAAAGAGAGAGAGGAAGAGACAGAGAGAGAGAGAGAGAGAGAGAGAGAGAGAGAGAGAGAGAGAGAGGGAGAGAGAG